TCGTTGCATATGAATTTCGCTATACCTGCGGCTAAACGTCCATCCGAGTCTCTTCCTTCCTGAAAGGACATGATTCTGACTTCTACGCACCATGATGATCTACTTCGGAACCACCACTGGGGAACGGTCAGCGGATTGAACATTTTGACTGAGCCGTTGTTAGGTAGTTCGCGGAACCGCTAGCCCAAACGCGATCATCCTTAGCTAGATAACATAGTTCGATTTATCAATAATTAACATTGTGGCCAATATCTTAGGCCATTGTTGGTATAATTTTAATTAAGTTAAGCTTAGTAAATTGTTAGTAAAGTTTAAGACATTATAATAGAAGAAGCAGTAATAAATACAGAAATTTCAGTAGTGTCTATTTGGCAGCATCACGCTACACTATCGAAGAGTATTAATAGTCATTTTATTTAAAAGTAAGTGTTCTATCTGAAGTCAGTTTCTCTTTAGTAGCTAGAGCAATATTATATCAGATAATACGGGGAACTAACATTCCTGTTTAACAGTTTTCCTGCGTTCGCGCTCATACGCTCATAACTACAATAAACACCCCTAAAATGTTGATTCACGTATATTTACATATTTTGTTTGCGCATCACCGCAACCTGAAATAGCAACGATTTATCCCAAAATAGCGTTCGACTAATTTTTAAATCAAGGAACGTTCAACCTATGGCCAAGTTAGCTAGGACCTGCGGCTAGATTCGCGGGACGACGGTAGGTTGTAAGACAATACTTAAATATCTGATTTTCTACATCGAAGCTTTAGTTGCATAAACCACCTATCCCTAAAATGACACACTTATCCTACTGCAGTTATACTATCAGCTTACTAATATTTGATACAGGTTACACTCGTTCTGTCGCGGGTCTCGTGGCACTACTTTGGTTGAAACATCATGTCCTATTACTTTGGTCCGGCAGACATTAATCATTCTACTGGAACAATGCCGTTTGCCTATTGTGATGCTCCGGCAACCTCGATCATTTTTCCATGCAATCCGTTAACGCTTACCATATATTGCGCTGTTTGAAGTAAATTAACCTCGACGTTGAAATGACTCATAGCAAAACGAACAAACCTTAGTCGACTTGTATATGTGAAATTAACTTCCAGCTCTACTCGAAAACCTTACATAATACACACCTCTACGTTTCGGATCTTACGTTTAGTATCGCCGACAGACATTCCATCAGACGGCTGGCTCTCAGCGCTAAATGAACCGCGTGTCCAGAACATGCCCTTAAGATTAGCAGGTAAATACGTTACCCGCTAAGCTATCACGGAGACACGTAATCCACCCTTATACTCCCCTATAGTTCTGCTGTCACATTAGATCTATTTGGAACTCGCACCTCGTCTGCTGCTTGCGCGTTATATGCTTTAACTTTTGTGAGATGACTTATATAATCGAATGTCCAGTAAGCACAGTTGCCTGTGCGCTACAATAGCCCTACAAAGCAAGCCCTACAATTGTCGCGTCTCGTTCGCCGTAGCACTAGGTAGTGATTAGCATCAATGTCCTGAGGTGAGCATGTGTCGGATTATGCCCCACGTATGGCCAGTTCTGTCCAGGGCGAAGCTATATTAAATCAGCCCAACTTGTCCACGTTAGGGGCTGATTTGTATCGGACAAATTGACTTTTAGCAGTCAAATTATGTCGTTGGTTAAAAACTGCTAACATAGGTGGCGGCTGGGGCTTTTGTATACCAGTCGATTCCGCACTCTTAGCTCTTTACTGTTTATATTCTTTACCATAACACTGGGCCGTCGTCAATCATGTTGTGTTCGTTTGCAATCGGGCATGCTAGAGTTTTAGCGTTCCTGGTGCGATGCCTCCCGATCGACCACTTTCCTAACGGCTGCGGATCGTCGCCACGGTTTTTCAATGATTCTGTGGCGCTCGTCGGTTGGTCGCCGTTTTACGTCTGCGTCGTCTTCCCTCGTTGAGGTCTTTATGGTCCGGATCTGGCAACCTGACCTGTAGCTTCCGCATTCCCAGTTTCGTCGTGGAATAGTTTACCTATTTCAAGTCTCACTTTGGTAGTTATATATATATATATATATATATATATATACCTGTGCGGCATTGCAGATAAGTATTCGGTAGCAGAAGGAGCAGAAACAAGTTCCAATCAACCTTGATGAAAAATACACGACGCACAAAAGATTATGCTTCAGAGGTGACCCATAGTCCCCAAAAGAGCATTTTTGACGATGGTTGTGTCTGTATGAGAGCGATGGCGAAGATGAGTTGGGTTACTGTATCACTGATATTTGCGAAGACCTCAGGTACATGTTATGCAGATGCTTTCTGAGACCAATACAACTGAAAAGTTTGACCGGTGTCTTTCCTCCTCAGTACCGTTAGGCATAGGTTTCCAGTTCTTCTCGGATGCGCAAATTGTTATACTCGAAACAAAAACCATCCACAAAAATGGTTGGTAGGCTACTCACGATCGAGAGGATGGTATTGAAAACAATTTTCACTGCTTATGTCCTTAGTGTAATGTCCAGTGACGATGATGCCATTTCAACATACTTTTTATAGAACGGCACCAAAAAACGTTTACTTGCACGCTCTACAAACTGTTGTGCGGCTGTGGATGGCTAGTGCCTTAAAGAAGGCTCTACTTTTTATAGTAAGATGGTGTGCCGGCTTAAATTATCTACTTACTGCAGGGCTCATTGCTTGAGGATATTAGCATATTCTGAAATGAGCACATATGGCCGTCATATAGCTTAGATTTGGATCCGCTATATCATCATTTATAGGAGGAGGGTCCAACGAGTTTCAACATGGCTACGTTCACTCGTACGAGACGTTTGCGCATGTGCAAACGAAAACGTAAAAGATTTTAGGTTCCGACTTGAAGCTATAGTTACCGTAGATAATACTTGCACAGCACATGACGGCAAGAATGACGCATTTATGTAGGGAACGTCGTCGAAGTATATGTGTTTGCTTAGATACAGTCTTAGAGATAACTCGTAAAGAAACGTCGGAATTTAGATGGGCGTCCTTATATATATGCAGTGTGCATTTATACTGAAGAAAGCCTTGGCGGACTATTTTTGCGTAATAGACATGCCCTTTAAACACTAACCAAAATGCAGTTTTTGCGAAAATTTACAGCAAGAAACAGTGTATCACTTTCACAATTCGGATAAAAATTAATGATAATGGACAAACAGTATTAAAATCTTTATATTTGCCCGATACTGACAGTCCATGTTTATGCTAGTTTTCACAGAGCGTCCGTAGCGCCACACGAAGGTCTCCATTGAACAGATCGGACCATCGTCAATAGATTTTAGATCTAAAAACTTCACCCAAATAGCTCTAGAAGCTATTTTTGATACAACCAGGTTCTTGACATTGAAATTAATAGCCGAAGAGCATATCAGTCAGCTCTTCCAGGTGAACTCGAACGATTTGTCCTTTCGAAATCTTTTGCGTCTTTTGAAATTTTTCATCGTCTCAAGAGTTGATTGTTAGGACTTTCGTTTTAGGACTTTTAACCGAAAATTTTATTCCAGCAGAAATTTCCTATCTAGCGTATTCGAACAACACATAAGAGGGTTTACACGTACCAAAATGGTTTGACGCGCGCGCTGCTATTAAAAAGTTTGATGTTTTGAAGACTAAAGAAGAAATATTTAACTTGAAGCTTGAATGGAAGCTGTAGTCACGGTTAATGGAAGTTATTTTGAAAATGACACCTTTAGCTAATGGAAAAGTTTTTTTTTCTTTAATATAGCTTTTGCTTATATACAGTTTTAAAAACACAGTGTAAGAAAAATTGCCAATATAAATGCGCCGCCTCATATATATATATATACTTTTGTGTGAAACTACGTATATATATATATATGTTATAGCACAAAAGTTGTCTGTGCTTGTCTGCACGGAAAATAAAGTCTATCATGTAATAGAGAATCAATCATCGCGCGTCCTGTATTTAGACGTTGAGGGAGACATTGTCCGCCCTCACCGCCAATAGTACTGCTTGCAGACTACTAAAGTATATTGTCCGATTACGATGCAAGCTCGATACGAGCTACGGGATCAGCTTATAAAAATGGCGACATCAAGGTCGCATTTACAGATCTATCCGTTTGAATGTCTTCAGCTTTTTAAAACCGTTACGTACTAATTTGCTCTGCGAGATACTCCAGGCGTAGACTATTCCCTCGTGTCCAACGTATAAAGGGCACCAGTATTCAGCCGACTAGATAAAAACGTCAGAAAACTGTTGACTCTTGCTTACATCACCTGACGATGAAGGCCCTAGATGGATATCTGCTGCCCACTATATGCAGATGGTACTAGGGTTTGCGGCACTCGTCCTTATTCATAGGCGCGCTATTGCAAACATTACTTGTAACGATAAGTTAAAGGTCAATGCTTACTTTAAACAACTAATAGCCTTAAACTATTGATCTCAAAGGTTCCTATGTAAACATTTTTTTCTGTAGATATTATGTAAGCTGACCATGTGTGTCCTACAACGGAACGAGTCCTCGTTCAAGGTAGAACTAAGGTTCAGCTCGTATTATATACTCAACTCGGCCATGACACCATGAACTGTCGGACTATTTCGCGGACAGGCAGTGTTTTGGTAGATTTCATTATCGGATCTATCGTATATTGCAGCACATAACAAACATACTTGTTCAGTCTATAGCAGACAGATAGAAACAGACATTCAGAGCGCTCAGTTTAGCTTGCTGTTTTGTGGGTGCTGTTGACAAGATATCCCTGACGTTGTCACTCAAAACAATTGGGTCGGACGCGGCATTATCCGAATCTTATACTAATGGCTGTACTGAGGTGCATATTACGAAAGCTGCTCTCACCCGATAAATGAGTGCATGCATCAGAGTCTGAGCGGGATATTTGCAAACAATTTAGCGGAGGATCGACATGTTACTTTTTGGTACTTTCTACGAGACCACTAAAGACTTAGCTGTTTTTATGCCGTTCCGGTCAATGAGTAGTTACCCTATTTACAGTAGATGATTACCTGATAATTCTGTCTCCACCTTAAATAACCGTCTTATTAAAGCAGTGAATATCATATCAAACGTTTACTTACGTTCTTAATGCCTATCTTGTGAGAGTAAATGATCAGTACATGACGGCTTGAAGGTATGTCAACGGAGTGTTTTTTTGTCTATACGTCGACCTACTTTGAACGGACCTATCGGTTCCGTTTGCAGGCTGACAGTTTTAGCGGCTGCACTTCAAATGACTTTTCGTCCTAAACCCTTTCAGGTTTTTCTGGAAATGTATCTTGCTTTTATCCTTCAGCTATTTTCATGAAGTTCTATTAAGTGGCATATGTCATAATCTATAAAGTAGTAATCTACAAATTGGCCTTCCTCTACATTCCGCTAAAACTACTAATGTGACATTATCCTATGGATGTAAGCCAGTTTTGCCCTTGTTCACGGTAGCAATCAATAATACTTGCCGCGTTGCATTTTCATGCTTTCTTTCATAACACTAGTGAATACTTTTATGGTTTTGTGTATCTACGCATATAGCATTCAGTACCTTCGCAAAGCTTCCGCTTCCCGAAAAACTCAAGTGTACCTGTTTTTTTTTTTTTGGTTAACCTGATTCGAAATAATCGTTGTCTAATCGCTTATTTCCCAATGTGATAGTTATTACGTTAGTTTTTCAGCAGCTTCTACCTTCGGACGTAAAATGATATACCAACGATCCGTTGAGGGACATCACAATTAGGATTGAGTTCGGGCTTTGAAACGCTCTGCATATAACGTAAGACGGCAAGAGGGTCGGCATATTTTGCAGCGTAGAAAATTTAGGAATCATCATTTGTTGTAAACTTAGGGAATATAGAATATTTTCCCACTATAATGTTATATGAAGATGCGAAAACTCGTACTTTTGTCAGAAGCTCCCAGCGAGACCTGCAAAAAAAAACTGATTTTAAATGATCGCTGAAAAACTTTGCTTGTTCAACCCATCGGCCTACTTTGAACTCTTTGGCGCATGGGGGTTTCCTTGCCGACGCTGCTAATGCGACGTTGAGCTCTTTGAAAACAGTCAAGACACAGTTCTTTACCCTTGGCGAAACAAAGACGAATGGACCACAGGAACAACAAATGCCATTTTGGAAGCAAATCGCCCCTATTATTACTACGTCACCGCTTTACTGGAAGTAAAGTAAAGTGAAAACGCCCCTCTCCTTGGTTCTAGCGGAAGTCAACGACTGCTGTCCTCATTTAACACAGCCAGCAGGACGTGCGCCAGGGTAACTCGGAAGTCGCAGGCAAGCATCGGTGGTAAATAAGTGGTGAACACTACGATGCACAGATCTTGCCGGAACAAGGTTTAATACCAGCTGGCTAAAGAAGTTTTGGCTGCTTTAGGTAATCTCGCTGATCTTGAAAGAGTTTTCCTGGAGGACTCACCTATAAAAAAGCAGCCCAGTTCCTCCCTACATGAATTGAAATAATTTGCCAAATGCGTTAAAACGAACAGAGCGTATTCCGAGGCAAAAGGAAAGCTAATTACCCTTATTTTTCCAAGCGTCCATTTATTATTTCATGTAGAAAGGGAAGACGTGAATACTTATCGGTGAACGAACAAAGTTTCTAGCAGTCTGACGCGTTAAATGTAGCTAAAGTATTATAATATATTTCGAATATAAACGAGCTTCTTCATTTTCTGTAGGGCCCCGGTGGTGTAAAGTGCGTAAATAGCAAAATAGATCATTGTAGATACATTGGTCCCCCCGCCCCCCTTAGTCACAAGGAAAAAATAACACAGGAACGCTAAATGCAGCTTTACAAAGGAATTTGGGGGGCAGGTTTCGCTTAGACCATGTGAAACACTTGTAGCACATGCTAGCGCGCTCAGTATTTGTACATTTTCAAATTGCTACAAAAGTACCTACTGTTTCTATTTGTGTGGTGATTCGCAAAAGTTCGGTTGTGGTAATACAAATCTCCATAATAATTTATCGTTGTTTAAGCTTGCCTGCTTCATATGCTTCCCTCTTAGTTCTACCATATCCATTATATTTCAATGAAACAATGATAATCATGATGATACAGGCATTTGACATAAATATTATTTAAGCCAAAATGGTGGTCGAGCTCGTAGGCTCAAACATCGTAGGTTAACGATAATCAGCCTGAGTCAGAACAAAATTAACATGTTATTGTGGTTTGTTTATTCATTACGTTCTGACCCGTCGTTCCCGGCTAACAACTTGGTAACTTAAGAAATAAGTTTGTGTTCTTGCTACCGGCGCAGCTGGTCGAAGATGCCAGTTGCTGACCGCTCCGACAGACACCAGAAGCATAGAAAATAGCGAGCCCTCGTTGAACATATGTTTAACAACAACAACAGCAGTGATTCGTACGGCCGCAGCGAGTTACCGAAGGCAGTCGGACGAAGACAGGTGCCCTGAGGATCGGCGGCAGGAGCGTTTTTTTTTTTGGAAAAAAGCTAAACAAGAGACGAGGGCAAGGAGAGAGAGAGAGAGAGAGAGAGAGAGAGAGAGAGAGAGAGAGAGAATAAGAGGTCTTATAAGATGAACAGAAGAAGAAAAAGAGGCTTTCTAGGTGTTGTCCCTCTTCTGAGGCTCGAACGGCGCTTTTCCACGAAGGATAATTACTAACAGTTTCGGTACGTGTAAATGTTAACATCTGAAGATAGTATTACATGTAAGAACAGATACACGACGTGTCACGCTTTTAGGACAAGAGACATTTCATGCAAAACACTCACTGTATTTAGTGGGGAGAGGGTCAGGTACTATCTAGCGCGCCACTGCGGCAACATACTATTATGCACATATATATCAAAATAATCATCAAAGGACGGAAATTTGGCTACACTCCAATACCACTCACTCAAGTACTAAACGACTTTCCCAGGCCTATGGATATCATGGGCGTTTGTAACGAGTATTTATCTCTAAAAGATTCGCTAATTTAATTAAACAGGTTAATTAGCTCGTTTTCTATTTTTAGCCTGCATCATTCGCAGATCACTCAGTCATGCCGACACGTCTTCTTCGTCCTCAGAGCCAGAAGCCTGATCTGTCGTTTCCTTGTACTAAGCGAGCAATGTCGGAAGAAGACAGCTTTATCGGGTAACGTCATCGGAGTAGATTTTTTAAATCAGACGCTATTTTCTGTTGGGCAGCTTAAAATTCTTTAATGCGAAGGCTGAATGACGCCAATGGGTATTAAAAGTACTGAGACGTAATACGTTACTTTTAATAGCCAGATCATGTAAAATCGTGGCTTTCTGAAAAAAACACCAAAGCGCCCCTTTAGCGTTTGCTCCCTTTCGTCCTTAATAATTACACAAAAATATATGAGTTATAGATCTCTATCTACGGTCGGCTGCCATAGTAGCACAAGGGGTGTTGCGCGTAGGCTTTCCATGTTACTTCTTACAACGCCATTAAATCTGGGTGCAACGCTGGCGAACGAGATTAGCTATGTATGGACAGAACCCATGCCATCTTCTATGATCATATAATAGTTTCTACAATGAAATGAGAAAGAACCAAACAACACCAGTGAGAAGAATAAGGAATACGGCGATACTGATAGGAATAACTGCCAGTTTTCGGAACCGATTTCCTTTATTTGGGGCCAGACATTGTGCCAATTGGGCATTTCAGGCTTCAAGACATCCGTATGTTGGTTGGCCAGACATATGGTACAGTCTCTGTCTCTATTTCCAACAATAAGGTCCCTTTTTGGTGTTCCATTGACTTGCCAGGCACGCCAGCAGTGATAGCTCGGTTTCCTGTCTCTCGCCAGCGGCGCAGCAGCTGGCCAATACAATGCCGACTCAAGCTAAGCCCACCGGAACGATGTAAGATGCTTCATAAAAATCCTTTTCCGCGACTCTAAAACGCTATTAAATCGACGAAATGAATAAGCTATGCCAACGCATAGATTGTTACTGTTTTCCTTCCGTCATTCCCGCCGTCCTTGAAAACAACTTTTCAACTTGAGTCAGCTGGAAAATAACTCCGAACCTTGAATCGGGTGAAAAATGCTTCGGCACAGACAAAAACACCATCCATGTTTGCTTCACTGTATTTGAGCTTCATAGTCTGACACCTCCCTGGAGCAATCTCACACACACACCTAGCGTTCTTTTCCATACCGACATTTCCTTCCTGTGAAGGACAATGCGCTAATGAGTGGAAATGTAGCAGCTTATTTATGATTACGCAAATGTTTATTTCGATTCACTCAGATCGCGGCACGGTCTTTATGAATCGAAAACTCGTGCACTATGGGTCACGGTGCTCAATCCAAGCGAAATCTGGTAGTTCAACAAACTAAGAAATCTGCCCCTATAATTCAAATAGAAATGTTATTAATTCGTTGTTTACCAGGTAAATAGTTCCAAACCTCACCGAAGATGATAAAGAACGTCTCGTTTATTTTAAGCACTTCATAAACGCCTGTAGGAAGCTTGAAATGAAGAAAATTGGCTATCAGAGATCGAGATAATGAATTAAGACGGTGCGTTTGAATCAAATACAAGATGCCAACACGCCATGTTGCTGCAATTTGCAAGTTGCTGCCACAAATGATTGATAACAAGTCGACAACAACACTTATAAAAAGCCAGTAAATAAAAAAAAAAGAGTAAATATTAATTATAATGAGATATCAATCATTAAATCAATAGTATTTTAATGAGCTACTTAGAAGTGAGGTGCACAGAAGGTCAGTGTGAATGAAACGTCAATCTTAGACAAACATAAAAGCCAGGATAGTTTTAAAAGTCAGACAACTGCTTTCATAAGTTAACAGATAATTTTACTGCTAGGAGGAACTAGAGCAGCGTAAGGACAGCTTTCATCTTAGTCAGAGTAGGGGTTCCCTGAGCGATCACATACTACTGGATGGCATCTAGAGCGCCATATTAAGGATACCGATCAGAAGTAGTGAAGTCAAAATTTTGGAACGAAAGCACAGGAGCGGATCGAGGACGGGATGAGAGAGATATACGAAACGGGTTATCTTGCAACAGAAATCCGAAAACACGATACGTATAGAATTAGTATAGATTATGAAAGTAGTGCCCTATAATTTGATCTGCAGTATCGCTAGGATGCGCCAGCTCAGATATCGCTCTGTTAGTATCCGACCTTGACAGTCTCTACTGAGTGGAGAAATGTAGACAAAGAGAAACGTTAATATTCGACAAGTTGTACAGTAGAAGAGGAACCACATTTAACTGGGCTTACATAGCCCAGCAGGACAATAAGAAGCTGCATGGCCTTCGTTTCACCAAGAAAACTAGACATTTTGAAAAAAGAACGCTTCCAAACGGTTAAACACGAGCTTTACGACATTTCATTACGACGGTTTATCCCGAGTTGTAATCCCTCGATACACTGTGTTTCGCTCCTCTGGTGTTAAAATGGCGATGCAAGTAAAGCTAACGTAAATCGGTTAGTGTTTCTGCATTGCGCTCGTCCTAGTAGAACTGCAGCGAACTAAAATGCCCGACTCGTGACGTTCGAATTTAGGTTCGCGGTTACTGTATTGCCAGCTTGTCATATCGATACCTACGGTGCTCCTCATATGGAGACCTAATCATTCAGACGATAGTGGACAATAATTTGAAAATTTAACTTGAACATATGACAACCAGCTCGTGACGGCTGGAAGAACGCTTGATACAGCTGCCAGATTCCTGCGCGTGTATATCAGCTTTGGCAATAACTAGAGCTTATTACAAAATGTTGTGGTGGACCTTACAAACAGACCTTCAGTACGTCTTTTCGATACAAGAAAATCGTGTCTATTTAAAAGTAACTGCCTCTATCTAACTCCCGCTTAATGGAAAATGCATAACTGGATATAGCTACAATATGTTCATCTATGTACTTGGTGGCTACGTCGCTTTTCTCCTAAGAAGCTTGTGCACGTTTCGCACTTTAGAATAAGATACGATTGTATGGCGTATGAACCCGTGAAGTCGAAGAAGAAGACCAAGTAACGTAATACAGATATCGTAGAGAACTAGGCTGTTAGTCAGAGATTGACAGCGTACTGTCTAGTGGCCAGGACCTTTACACAGTAACCACAGTCCTCCAAGTCCCCAGTCTTGGCAGCCGTCGCACTTTCGTCCATCGCGGCAATACATTCCCGGCCCCTTTCCTTCCTGTAGCTTTTACGGTTCGGATCTGGCGACTTCTTACAGTATATGTGTCCGACAAGTTGCCCTCCGCCACTTGACGCCGCTACCGGTACTAACAGCTGCTCTGAGTGTGAACAGGCAGGTAGCCGTTCTCCAAGCCTCCTTGTTCAGTCACTTATATAGGGTCCGACGCGGCTAAAGCTTACCCTAACCGCGTCTGAAGTCGCAGCTGCAGCTATATATATGTATATATTTATTAGTCCTAGTGGAGACACTCTCAGAACGCCTTACCAACAAAAAGGTAACTAAGTTCGTGTTTGTAAAGCCCTGCGTGAGGGGTGCAGGACGTGATAGTAGAGGAGCTTGAGCTAGAGGCTGCTAATGGAGAGTAAAAGGAAGATTCCAGCTAGTGTCGGTGCCTCCTGATGAATGACTCCAGACTAGTCTTACCTTAGGCCTTAATACGCCTCCGCAACGCACTTATTAATATAACCCCGGAAAATGGGCAGTCACGGTAGCCGCCTATCTTAGCATTTATATCCCATCATTCCTACTATTACCAGCCCTTTATTTCTCTTCCGACGTCGCTTCTATGGATACTCCTTCCTCGTCAGTACCTCACGCTTCAGTTACGTAGGTCATTCTTTTTAGGTGTTTAGGTAGCTCGCTAGACAGCGCAAAATTTCGTTTAGGGAACATACTTTGCATCATCTAATAAAACAAGTATAAAGCCTCAGCCTTCAGACGTCTTCCCTCATACTCTATGATATATATATACATTTGGTCGTTTAATATGCAATGTGACAAGCATTCCCTCATCTCATATTAAAAGATGGCGCTATTTCATAATAGTGAAACGATTTTTTCCGATCCGAGTGCAATTATATTCTCTGAAATCCAAGGCCGCTCGGAAATCATCGCCCGGTTTTATGGTGAGTGGCTTGTAGTAAGTCATGAAAAATTCGGGCGGTTGACGAATAGGACCACAACGGCAAAGATGGCTTACCGTATAAACCCTGTATTCGCTGAAACGCCGTAAGTGCTGTTTCGAAAAAAATTTCAAGCTAGGAGGTTCGAACTCCAAAGCGAAGAGCCTTTGTACAGTTCAATAGCGAAGAGTTGACAGTTTAGGTGGGAGTTGGTCCATCACAGAAGTGCACGGGTGTTAACCACTCACACATAATAATATTATGCTTGTTGATTTCGATAACATCACTGAGGTAAAAAAAAAAGTGGTCAAATGAGGCGTAGAAACGCTTGCTTTTTTGTTCTTGCGTCACACCAGCAATGCATTCTGGCACCAAATCGTGACTTACGATGAAGAATAGCCACAAATGATTGTGTCAATGCACCCGAACCGACGAGACCCTATCCTAACGCATGTGAGATAGCTCATTTCTTGAACAATCTAACATATATATATATATATGACTGTTTATTTATTGCTTTTCGTTTTTCTTTGCCTTCCTTCATTGTAACTAAACAGATCATCTCTTCAACTAAATCGAAAATGGATCCTAATAAAAACTTCCGACCATAGATCAATGAAACTCATTCAACGAACACTTCAGGACAAGTACTTTGCAGACTAATGAACTCATCGATAAATTAACATGTTATATAGCATGTAAATGGAAGATTTACCAAAAATCGTGCTACATTTGTACCTAGTAGTACGAATAACAAGGACGAAATAACTTATATGAGTGTCATTGATAATCTTACTTCTATGAAGGATGCAATATGCTTAGATCAAACGACTTCGATTTCATGCCCTAAAGATCAACGCCCGTTTAGGATTCACCGCCGACGCCTGTCCTAGTCTTTGCGTACAGGCACATCCAGCCGCGCTTTCGACGTAACACCGCGGGTTCATCTAACAAATAAATGATTATGTTGTACAATGGGACTCGCTAATTGTAATCAAATAGCTGTCACTCCTTGTCGTTTTTTTCTTTCCGACAGCAAAAATGAGAAGAAGGACGTAGAGTATGTATTTCATTCGGCCTGAGCTTCTTTTACAGTTGACATTCGTCAGAGGCAGATTCCTCGCCCGTGGCGAACATTTTTCAACTCACAATCCCGCTCCGCCAACAGCTTTACTTGTCGTTCGTGACATCGTTGCGTAATGGGGGCATGCAGAAGTCCTAAATGGCTCGTGCTCAATGCTGGTCCTGCTTGTGATTCCCCATACACTTATCTAGTGGCGATTGCTGGGTATTATCGTTGAACACACGTATCACGCATGGGGCCCTATTATGCGTAAATCGTATATGAATTTGTTGTACACCGAAATGATCCAGTTTAACATGTAGTACCAGTATGAGTAAGAACTATTATATTATTTTAGCGCTGCTTGAGCCTGATGTCGCGATACTGATCAAGTCGACACAAATCATTTCGATACATGAAACGATATGAGAGAATCTGGCTGTCATTGGTCTTCGCTACTTCGATGCTTGCTGAACTTCCATTAGGAGCGCACCCTTGTATTCTCAATTTTTCAGTCTATTCAATTAGCATGAGATATGGGACACGTTAATGTCACGCTTCAAAATAACAGTATTCTATAACGGCACGATATTCGACGACATTTGTTTGCTCTGTGCGCTCGCAGTCTTTAAAACTCCAGACCCTTCACTCGTATCGCCCTTCAGGCTTTGAGCAGACGAGTTGCGGTGAGCCAGGAAAATTCAAATAGTTCACAAATATGACGTCCTTATTGGACTTACGGCGGCGGAAACAGCACTCCGTGTGAGCCTCGTATTGGCTGAAAGCTCCACTGCTAGAAGCTGTGTGAACACTTGGTCTCAAAACTATCGTAAGGCCCCCGCGAAGGGGGATAAGGAAGTATAGTGGAGGTCGACCAACCTCAGAGTGGTCGGCCGTCGTCACGACGGCGTGGTGTGTATAAGAATACCGTACCTATTCACCTTGGCTAAACTATTAATTTTCGAATTGATGTTGCCAGGTTTGAGCAATCAAAAATGGAGACATAAAGGCAATTGCTTCTCCCGGACGAGAACAGTGATCCACTTTTTGCAGCGCATTCTGACTTCCCGTGAAGAAGGGCCCGTCATGATAATAGCAGACGCTCACATGGTGAACAAATGTAGTTACAAAAGCAAAATATCGTTTTAAAACAAATCCATAACTGCAATAGCACATGGTCTCTGTTTCGTGGTCTACAACAGGTGTTGTCTACTACACTTTCATGGGGTCTAGCTTGTAGATTGAGGCTGAAAATCTAGCGTCAACAGGTAAAGTAGATAATGAGCAAACGTTGAGCTAGATAGCCGAAACTAGCTGAACCACATGCAGGAGTTATACGTAGAAGCTTTCCGTCATCCCCTGTCCCACTCGCTAGACATCGCTGCGATAGAGAACCGCTTTCTTTTAGATTTCGACAACTGCTTAACGGTCAACATAACGTCGAAATTTCCCTATGTG